AGTTTGGATTCGATTGCAATTGGGGAAAATGTGATCAGCATTGAAAAGTTCCTGGGCGGTGATCTAAAATTTCTAAATCAAATCACCGGCATAGGGGGTTTTGCGTCTACATTCTCCTGTCTCTGGTGCAAATGTCCAAAACTTGAACGGGCAGACATGACTAAAGTTTGGTCAATGGCAGATACAAGTAAGGGAGCGAAAATGGTCAAAGAAATCATTGAATGCTCCCAGAAGCCGAAGTCCAGTAAAACCAGATTTAACTGCAATTCTGCGCCGATATTTCCTTCTGTCCCCATTGTTAAAGTCATCCCAGACATGTTACATTTGTTCTTGAGGATCATGGATCAACTAGTATATCAACTGACATTTTACCTCCAGCAGTGTGATAATATTACACGGCTAAATCCAAACCTCAAATTAGAAACCTGCAGCAATCTGATGCGATTTCAGAATTTCATTAATGACTTAGGAATCACTGACTGGAAATATGCAGTACAAGATTCAAAAATCCAGGCACGGACTTTTACAGGACCAGAACACAGGAGAATTTTGGCAAAAATTGATTTGGCTGTAATCATTCCAGACCACCCAAAGTTACAACAAATTCAAACCCTGTGGAATAGTTTCAGATCATTGATAAGTCAGTTGAACAAAGATTCTGCATCAGCTGAGATTGATGAATTTCAGTCATCAGCCAAGGAATGGGTAATGTTGTACCAGAATGTGTACTTGGCAAAAGATGTAACTCCCTACATGCACGTCCTTGCAAACCATATACATGAAGTCATGCGCCTATATGGAAATCCATCGTTTTTCTGTCAGCAAGGTCTTGAGAAGCTGAACGACTTTGTAACCAAGTGGTATTTCCGATCCTCAAACTTTGGGACGGATGCACTCAAACAGGTAATGCAAAAACAAAATAGATTGAGGTACTTGGAAACAAATTGTAAACGTTCTCCCAAGTGGGCGGTGCAGTGTAGTTCATGTAAACAACATGGTCACAACAGACTGACGTGTTCCTTGCATTAAATTAATGTGCAAAGTGAACATATCATATGTTGTCTTATTTTGAATCCCTTAAGAATCAACATAACAAACGGTAGGCCCTATGAAAGGAGATTTGTGTACTTTTACTGTAATTTATATTTCACGATTACATGTAAATGCGTGTTACATTTATGGCAGGTGCATAAAGTATCATGTAGTTTCATTGTTTACGATGAAATGTTACTAATTTTAGGGCTACTTTTTGATGTATTTCATTGCTATTTTTATGTGAGTTGCCAGTCAGTAACAGAGAACGACATAGAGCTGGAACTCGGCTTATTTGCCACTAATGCCACGTTTGTGCACTTTGTGTTTTCTAAAACTGATTTTTGTGTCTTTCTTGTTAGCTTTTTACATGTATGTGTTTAGCCATTTAGAATAGAGTGTAGCTTTATACATGTATTTATATCTTCACACTGTATTTTTTTTTATGAAAGAAATATGTAACCTAAGGCTTCCTTTGCATACAGAACATTCAGGTTTCAATATGAAATAAGAATTTAGATTCACAACATGAATCCAGTGTTAAATTTTGCAAAAGGAATACGCTAATGGTACCGCTATAACTATTAGTGTTAATAATTTTGATATGAGTTTCCAATCTGTGCATTCAAGTTTCAACTCTACAATTTAATTGCCACATTATGCCACTATTTAATTAAACAATGCCATTTTCATGCCTACTTAACATGTTTTCCAGAGAACTTGTATGATGCCATATAACTATTTTTTGCCATATAACTATTTTTCATAACAAATACTACATTCTACCTCAAAAGTATATATTTAAATGTGCAGCTTCTATTTTGTTAATTTAGCATTTGTTATTCATTATTTGATGGTTAATAATGGCATGCGAATTGAAGCCATTACAAGCTGATACAAAGGTTTTACATTGAGTTATTCAAGGCAGTATTAAAAATAAAAGTGACAAAGTTTTCCAACGAACATACTGTTCCCAGAAGTTTTTTTATTCACACCATGTTGATGTACATTTTGTACATGTACATTGCATACCCGCGTTGAAGTTCTTTGTTTACACATAATGTTTTCCCCTAATTCGCGAAATGGAATGGTCCTCCTTCTGTGCTGACCCAGAGTGGGGCTGTGAAGGTCGCGGGGTCAATTCACCCTGCTGTGTGTGACCGCAGAGCAGGGCTGTGATTTTCTGCACATATGAGTGGCAAAGTTCTCCATATGATGAAATGCAAGCAGATTCGGCAAGTAATTAATGCAAAACAAGACTGTGTTTTGACCTCGATATTCTGACCATTCAGCGGGCGTCTTCTATATCGGGTCTAATTCGGTAACCCGTTGTCATGTACATCTAATAAAACCTAGACACAACATATATTATGCTTTTACGTTGTAAATTATGTTAGCAAAAATAGCCTATGTCAAGCGGACTGTATCGATACGTTACGCGATGCCCAAACATCCTGTGACTTTGAATTATCATCATGTGGTATTTTGAATAACAGACGTAATGAGAATGCCCTCTTGTGCATTCAAGTTTCACCCACGGTCAGCGTTCCTGTATGTTAACAGTTTTGAAAGCCAATGTCAGGTTTTATTAGATCTCTATGTCCATTGTTGTATTAGAAAAGCATGACATCAAAATTGACCAATCAACAGCTTAGTCCAGATTTCTGAATGAAATGATGTCATGTCACCTCATGGCCGGCGCGCGGGGTCGCATAAATGTGCATGCATAGATACATGAGACGTTAGGCCAGAGACAGAGAGGGTGATACAACGGGTGATACTCAGACTGTAGATTTATTCCTACAAAATCATTTTATATTTCATTTTACTCAAAAAAGAGTGGACTGCAACATAGGCAATTAAAGGGGGTTGATACCATTCAAACTTTTTTTGTTTTGTTCGTAACTAGTGTTAGTTGTAAATATGTGAGGGACTGTTAAACCCGATGTGTGTACTTTCAATGGTGTAAATATGGGGCACGTGCATGAGTTCCACACAACAAATGTATATGTTGCCTTCAGTTACCCCCCCCCCCCCCTCCAAAAAATCAATGAACCCCCAGGTGCCCCCAGCAGCTCAGTTATGCTGCTGGTACCTTTAGAAAGTTCCAGATGCAGATTAGTAACTTTGAATCTTTGCTGACATTTGTTTGCCATTGTTGTCATGGAAGCTCCGTTCTCTTGGAGAGATATTCTGTTGGCTAATTAAAGCAAATGCTCATTGCTTCATTTAGACTACTTGGTCTATCAGCATTTAGTACACCAATACTTATTCAAAGAAGCAAAAGCCTCCAATCCTTTATGGAATAAACTAAACTATTATTGTAATGTTACAGAACCTCTCACAAGTAGGTCATTTTATACATTAAAGGGAATATACAACATTTGCAAACATCGAAAAATAAAACTACCAAGTTTTTGCGAAATTCCTTAATAGGATGTTGGTAAATGACAGTCTAAAGCATCCTGTAAAATTATGGCACCTGGTATACTGTCATTTTCAAGAAAAGTGGTATTTTTGTATCAATTTCCAACGCTGATCGGCCGATCAGCGTTGGAAACAACTGGCTTTTTTTCAAATACTGGCCCCAATTGACCATTGCACTTGTTTGCAATCGATTACAAACCTATGAACGGGTACAAGCCAGCTAGACTGGTTCCCTGACCTTACAATTCCCCAATGTATGTAAACTGCTCTGTTTCTTCTTATATGGAGTCAGGGAACCAGACTACAGGAAAATGATCGTTTTTCTTGGTTTTTATAGCATTTTCGATCCCAAAACCTCCAAAAAGTCAGTGTAACTATATTTGCTTTATATTTCCAACCCCCCAATTCCATCCATTTCTGAAAATTACAGCAAAAGCAAATGATGTATATTCCCTTTAAGGGTCCAAAGTCGGACATTTTTCCTGTCCCTGTAACCTCCGAAATTTATCATTTGCCATTCAAGTGGCATTTCAAATGACTTCAAACTAATTATTATTTGTTGGGTAGGTCATTTGATTCACAGAAGCATTCTTGGAGAAAGAGTACACACATTAAGGAGTGCATCTGCTATTGCAAAATTGTTGATGCCAGACGTATAGGGACAGGAAAAACTGGACCCCAAATTCAAAGAATGTTCTAAATGCATCTTCTATTGTAGTATGTAAACAATCACATATGAGAAAGGCAGAAAAAAATATTTCAATTTACAAATGTACATCCATCATACCAACCACATTTGCAAACATCCATGTATCATTGCAGTAGAATGCACAAGGTTTTCATTTTCAACTTGGTTGTAAATGTAATAAAACTAATATTAGTTTGATGATGCACTCGGAAAGCACTGTAAAAGAGACAACCAAGGGATTGCATATGATTTACTTTGAAACTATCACTTTAGTTCAAAATCACATATTTCCTTCAGTTGCTTTTGAGTATTTACTTTTGTCTCATGTACACGGAGGTGCAAAATCTTTCTCATTTGAAACTAAGTTGTGTTTTTTTTAACTCAACAATTTTCCCCATAATTGGAAATATTGAATAACAAAATCCAAGGAAATCTTTACATTTCACAAAGGAGCAGGGTTATATCTTATACTTTTAAAACACATCATGCATTGACTTTGCATTTGCTGAGATGAATCCGAAAAAATTGAATTGCCTCTCGTGGTAATATTTTCCCTCTCGTTTTTTAATAATTTTAAAATGTGCAATCTGCCCTATTTGCAAACAATGTGAAGGGTCATTTCTTTGCTGTCATTATTGGGCCCCCAGATCTGTGATTTTATAGGAAGTAGCAAGTAGAGTGGGTGTTGAAGTCCAAGATTTTTTAAAGGGGAAGTGGTTGAGGTATGAGAGTCAACACGTACGGAGAGCAAATACCTTAGAAATAAACCAAACATAGAGTATTGTTGAATGTCTTATTCGAGAGATGAACTCTAAGGTTCTTTTCAGTGATAATTAACAATATTCAATGTCTGATGCAAGTGGTTGGTGGATACACTGGATAGCCCCAGTTTAATTAATCTGTCCTTACACTCGGTGATAGACCTTTACAGACTGTCCTGCAGCCACTACCAGATCACCATCTGATGTGAATGTGATGCCACGTGGAGAACCACATCCCTTGATGACACATCCAATGTACTTGCCATCAGGACTGTAATGCAGAATGTCACCTGTTGGATGTCCGCACACAGCAACATAGATGCTGCCATCACTGTCACAGCACACACCACTAGGGAACAAACCCCTCTGCATACTGGTCATGTCTACTGAGAATACACTGGCACCATAGTAGTCTACACATAACAACATTTTGTTGAACCATGTTGGGTAGCATGAGTAGATAAGGCACTGATTGTACATTGTCAGACAATTTGCAATCCTAGGAGCAGGCAGTCTCCTGATGAGGGATCCATCTGGGTTGTGTAGAGATATCTCATTCTTGCCTTTGTAAGCCACTGCTATCAGATTGCTGTCATCCACTGCAAGGCATGTTGGTTGGCTGTCTGACCCTCTACCTGGTGTGAACTGATGGAGGAGCTGATGTTGCTTGTTGAAGACCTTGACTACTGGACCATCTAGAGCAAGGAGCTTGTCATCCTTGCTCACTGCAATACACATTACATTGGTGAGGCCATTGATTTGCAGCCTTTGTGGAATTGGAGTTCTCTCATGTTGACTTCCCGGCAGTGAGACTGTGATGATTGGATGTATGGTAGGTGACATATTGGTTTTATGGAATAATATGTTTGATTTAATAGAGAGTGCCATTACTTTATTGTTGGAGAGTGCTTCAACATGTGTTATAAATGCATTTGGTAATTCAAAGTTCTTGACTTCAGTCTTCAGTTCCCATTTCTCCTTCACACATGATCTTGCAGGTCTTAGCTTTAGCTTTTCTGCAGCCCGTGGCTCCTCCAGAATGAGTCTCCCAAGTGACCTCTCACCTTCTTCAAAGTCCATGAAGTTAAAGTTGTCAGGAACTTGCTGTGGCTGTTTCCCTGTCAATTCACTAAGGTTATGCAAGAGTTTCTGCTGAAGTTCAAGAATCTCGTAGCAACTTGCTTGATTCATGAGTTGTTTGACCTCCTCCAGCTTGTGCTCTGTCTGTGACACCTCTTTGCTGTTGGTTGCTTGAGCAGCTTCAAGAGCTTTGAGTTTGTCTTTATAAATCATGTCTGTTTCTTTCAACAATTTCTGTTCTTCCTTTTGGATCTTTGCAATCTCCTGCTTGAACTTTGTAATCTCTTGTTGAGCCTTTTTGGAGATTTTGTTTTGAGTGTTGGCAAACATGGTGTCCAGCTCTTTTTGAGATTTTGAGGTCTCTTCTATGGTTGTGCTCAATTCTGTTTTTCTGCTCTCACTTTTTTGAACCATTTCTGTGACCTTCTTCTTACATTTCTCTGCAGCCTCAGTTAATCCAATGAGTGAGTGTTTTGCATGATCAAGTACAGAGCAAGTTATGCATATGATTTGCTCACATAAGTTGCAGTAGACATTCAGATTCTGATCTGGATGCTCGCCACATTTGGGAACTTCTTCTCTAAGTTTACTCTTGTAGACAATCTCTCCTGAACGAAGTTGAGCCATTGTATAGATTTTATGAGTTTTCATGACAGTCATACGTCCATGAGCCTTTTGACATTCTTGACAGAGGAAATGATCACAATCCATGCATCTTGAAATTGCCTGATTTTCCTCATCACAGGCTTGACATTTGATGTCTGACCCTTGACCTTCCAGTAGCTTTTTCTGCATTGTAACTTCCTCCACCAGGGCACTGAATGCAAAGTTATTAGGGAGATCAGCAACCCCAGACCCTTTCAACATGGTTTCACGTCTGCATAGAGGACATTGCAGCTTTGTACCGGTACCACTAGGATCTTGGCTCTGTCTCAGACCGTGGAGGCATTGCAGACAAAAACTATGCAAACAGTCCAGCAGTTTGGGCTGCCTGAAATGGTTGGTGCAGATGGAGCATTCTAGATGATCCACACTAATCTTCTGCAACACTGATTGAGCTGTGACATTAGATGCCATCTTGACCACTTGATGAGACACGTTTTTTGTTGAACCTATATGAATGGATAAAAGTATCAAAAGTTGACTTCAATATGAAATGATCCACTCCCACATTGTCAACATGTTTTGTTTCCTCAGTTCTTGGGTATCAATTGTAGCCCACTATTTTATATATTCAGTACATATAAATCCAGAGTGCATTGGGTGGCCCCACTTTCTGAAGGGGACACTTAGTTCTTAACAGTACCTCCTTACCTGTTGGGTAAGGGGGCGGGGTCAGAGTGGGATGCATGGCCCTCCCCCTTTTGGTGGTCATTCAATTCAATTCAACATTTGTTTCAACCATTTACCAAAACACAATTCAGTGCATGTATATTAAGGGTAATATGTATTTCATTTCATTTTATTTGCCATTTCTAAGGTAAGAACACAGACAGACACACAATACAATACAATACAAACACTTTAGGTAACAGGCCAGTGTAACGCAGACTAAACAAAACCAAAAGACCCAGCAAAATATTGATAACACCCCTGAAGGATTGCCAAAAACGAACTTCATCACTATCTGGTGGCTTTCCTTGAATGCTATCAAGTACAAAGAAAACAATTAACAAGCATACCTATGTATAAAATACCAATCCTGGGAAATATATTGCTGTTAGCAACAACAAAAGTTAAGACCAGGGTTGGCGATTTTTATTTATTTTTTTGATTTAAAAAAAAAAAAAAATCAGATTTATTTGGTTTAAAATTAAATCATATTTTGTTAATTTGAATCAGATTTTTATTTTATATTTTGAACTTTCAAATTGTTGGTATGTCTAAAAATGTGTCTAAATCGCCCCTTGCACCTTTACACCCATCACTTATTATACCCAACATCCACAAAACTCAATAAATTGGTAAATGCTTTTGATTTTCATTTTTTTATTGAATCAGTGATTAAATAAAATTAACTTGATTTCATCTACATGTAATCTCCATCAGTTCAATGGTACGTTAATACTGAAGACACTTACAAAAAAAAATATTAGTACAGCTCTGCATGGGCTTGCTGATTTCATAAAAACCCGCAGCACTGATCCTTGTGTAACTTATAGTGTTTGATTGATGATCCTTCATACAAGTTGGAAAACAGAAATCAGGCCTTGCACCTTTAAAAGGGATGATGTAAATCTCAATCTAAAAGTGTTATGGAGAAACGTTAGGAATAAGACTATCAATTAGGACTTTAATATTGTTGATTCAAAATATTACTGTAAACATATCAATGAATAGTCTAAGCAAACGTGAGTGTGCTGTCTTTAAAATTCAAACTTTGAAGAAAAACTTTTAAACTTGGATCTTGACTTTCAATGAAAACAATGATTTTGGGTAAAAATGATTATGCAAACCTACATAATGTAAGTTGAGTCCATGCTGATGAAGTACATTTAGGGGTGTTTGAATGTGTTATCAACATTTAACACTTTGTAATTAAGTGGAATCAGTTAATTTAAATGATTTGACCCTCAATTTATTTTGCCAAATCAGAAAAGGATTACAACTTTAAAAATTTATTTAGTTAGCCTTCATTTTTACCACAAGTCCACAACCACAAGAATAAGCGTTAATAATTTTTGTTTCTTTTAAAGGGAATAAACATCATTTGCTTTTGCTGTAATTTTCAGAAATGGATGGAATTGGGGGGTTGGAAATATATAGCAAATATAGTTACACTGACTTTTTTGAGGTTTTGGGTTCGAAAATGCTATAAAAACCAAGAAAAACAATAATTTTCCTGTAGTCTGGTTCCCTGACTCCATTGAAGAAGAAACAGAGCAGTTTACATATATTGGGGAATTGTAAGGTTAGGGAACCAGTCTAGCTGGCTTGTACCCGTTCATAGCTGTGTAATTGGTTGCAAACAAGTGCGATGGTCAACTGGGGCCAGTATTTGAAAAAAAAAGCCAGTTTTTTCCAATGCTGATCGGCCGATCAGCGTTGGAAATTGATACAAAAATACCGCTTTTGCAGGATGCTTTACACTGTCATTCACTAACAGTCCAGCAAGGTATTTCAAAATGATTTGGTAGTTTTATTTTTTGATGTTTGCAAATGTTGTATTTTCCCTTTAACCCTCTTTCTCTCCCAACACAAGGATTCAGTAAATTTTGTCAAAATTGATCTTTTTTGTTTGTAAAGTATGTTTTGGAAAACAACAATGGAAAAATAGTAGTTTCTCTTCTAAATTAATTGACAATGGTGTAGAATGTGTTTTCCTCAGTATTCTTATTTGCAGTTTGGTTAATTTGCACAAAACAGTACTATGATTACCACACTGGTTTAAACTGTTAAGAATTTAAATTTATTTCAATGTACCTGCACAGTTTCCCAAATGTTTAGATTATCTGAAAGTTTGAAACAAAAAGCCGTATCCTCTCTGAGTTATCTTGGTTTGCAGCATTGCTAATATTGCTAGCATCCTGACTTCAGGCGTGAACCCTGGCTGCATTCATAAACACATTCATGGCTTGCCCGTTGAACAAAGACAATTTCATATTGGGGAACAGCCAACATAGGGCTGGTCCGCGATAGCTCAGTTAGAAGAGTGTCAGTATGGTAATCTGCAGGTCATAGGTTCAACCCCCACTTAAAGTTCTTTGTTCAACTTATAAACTTTCATTTCAGATTCAGATTCAAATTTAGGATCAAGGATATTTTAGTCATCTCAAGGTAGACTGAACAGGGAAGTTTTTGTGCAAATCTAAGAGTATTATGCATTCGAGCATTGACTCTCTCTTTGGTAAGATCAATGCTGCACAAACTGGCATATTATTCCATGATTCTTAACAAATGTCATTAAATACACGAACAACATAAAATACATACACTTACCTGAATTGAAGTTAGTTTTAGAAAGAAATTCAAACTTATCCTTCTGGAAGATGTTGCAGTATCTGTAGTTTACACAGTTTGATGTGAATGCAATACACTGTACATGAACATGAATGTTGAACTATCATTGCACACAGGGCGTAAATTCCCACTTCCGTGTATACATGTCATGTACCGGATACTTTTAATCACACATCCGGTGCAGGTTTCCTGTGTATCAATATCAGTCAGTGTTTCCATGACTCCGGTGCCCCACAAAAATAGAATCAGAAGACAAATGCTATTCGTGCAGTAAGCAGCCCTGGTGATTTTCAAATTTCAGCCTGAAAATAATGTTTTAGTGTTAATTTAGTTTTGTTCCTACAGCAATCTACAGCTCACTTGGGTTGAAAAACAAATGGAGAATTTTTTTCTTTAAATTCCTATTGAATAAAATATATTTTGTTTAATCTATTTTTTTCCATTGTATTTCGCCACCACCCAAAAAAGGGGGACATAAAAGTAAAAAATATCTTTGGAATATTGAATTGCACACCACAATATATTTATATGTTAGCTTCAGTTGCCCCCTCAAAAAATTGGTGAACCCCCAGGTGCCCCCCGTCCCACAAGTTTATATTGCTTTGTTATATCTGTAACTAATGTCAGTTGTAAATATGAAAGGGGCTGTGAAACTTGATCATTATGATGTTAGAATTCCATATTGTACATTTCATGGGGCACGTGCGTGCCCCCCCCCCCCCCCCCCCCCCACACAGTGGAGTTCCATGCTCCCCTGGGTGCCCCCACCCCTCTTTGGAATATTGAATTGCACACCACAATATATTTATATGTTAGCTTCAGTTCCCCCCTCAAAAAATTGGTGAACCCCCAGGTGCCCCCCGTCCCACAAGTTTATAAGCCTAGTTACGCTGCTGTATCTTTAGAAAGTTGCAGATGCTGATTGGTAAAATAACAGACTTGTGATCTTTGCTGAAATGCCATTGTATCACATGTCATTTTGCCTCAAATTAAGTTGCCCGGCAGACTTGCTCAGAAAGTGCTTATTCATTTGTAGCACTGTTGGGCATTTTTCAGAGATTGTGTCAATCAAGGGTTTTCTGACTCCACATTGACATTCATTCATTGAGATTTAATTCTGGTGATCCAGCATTTCATACTGAAAATATGCATTTTTCAAAACAGTAGGCCTTAGGAATGTCCAGAAAAGGAGTAAAATATCAGCAGATATTACCTACCATATGCCACCTGACTTGAATAACATGATTTAAAAACACAGTTATTGTTTTTGATTTGGCTGATTATTATGCACTGCACTTCTTGTACATCCTATGAGAATCAACAGAACACGGCTTGCGCTCTCATCGAGCGCAGGCCCCTTTGTGAAAGGTCACACCGCGGTCACACATTGAGTGTAGAGTGGGCGAAGTAACTTGAGTGCGCGCTGGGAGTCAGCTAGTGGATGTCTGGTCTGCATCGGTTGTCAGGCGGCCTGAGGAGTTCATTGCTCAAGTTGCCAGAGCGCGCGCAATGCCAGAGCACTGGCACAAAGACCGCTCAGTTTCGGTTTGGTTTTCGCTTGATACAGTCAATGATTGTCGGGGCTCTCGTTCACGCTATGTGCTTCAGGATTTTAGTGTTCAGAAAATCGACTTATTTAATTGCTACTCTTTAACTGTAATCGGAATGACAACAGCAATAACATGGAACGAGAAGTTGCCCGACTTGAGGTAGTTCGATAAAAACGCAGATCGCCCCGTTTAATCGCTTAGGCGACCGCCCAACTGGGAGGTGGTGGAGTCCCAGACGTATCGAAACGTTTTGGCCGAGGCGACGATTCCGAAAGCTTGACATGATGATGATCCGGTCTGGAACGATATTGCGTAGGGGCTAGACGAGCGAGCATGGGCTAGCAACGCCGACAGAGAGTTGTTGGCCGGACGGACCGGCCAAACTCCGGAGTGGGTCAAGGTACTGGACTCGGACATCACGACATCGAGTCTGCCTTTAGCAGTGTAGTGTGCTTTCCCCTCCCCGGCCGAGCACGGGAACCTGAGACAAACGGCGTGCTCACCGTTCCACCGGAATCGGGCGTGACCGGACCACGGCGTTACTTTGACAACCGGCGGAGGGCCACATGTCCTGAAGTCCGTGGAGTGTCTTCTCATGCATACCGGGTGAGCAGATTCCTTTACCACTGTGTAATACCTGAAGCTCAGATAACAATGGGTGTTGGGCCGAGTTGACTGGGCATGTTCGTGAGTTTCCGAGTGTCCTAGAATTAGCGCACACTCCAATTAATAAGCAACAGGTTCAGACCTACCCTCCTTTTAGTGGAGCTAGGGAGCGTTTTGCATGCAGCTTTGCTTAGTACTTGCTGGTTCCCCCGTTAGTGTCTTGTCGAAATTCCAGGTAGAATCAAGGATTGCAAATCTTACCACAATCAGAATAACGTAGAGCAGACGTTAAGATGTAGGGGATTGTGGGGATTTTATTAGGCCATGTTGTGAGCGCTCGTAGTCGTAAGTTGTAAGTGTAGGCATGGAGGAAGAAATCCT